TCGCGTTATTTGCTCACACGTCGAAAACTCAACGCGAGTGACCTGCTGCTCACGTCGAAATTTGGAGTTTTACGCCAAATCACATGGACTCTCTGATGTCTCGTTCTTGCTTGTAAAAAGGAGACAATGTTGGCATTAGGGTACCCGAACATAAAAAAAAGTATGGAACCGTTTCACTCCTAGAAATATACTCCCTTAGAGTTGTTGTTGTTGTTGTTGTTGTTGTTGTTGTTGTTGTTGTTGAGTTTTATTTAAAGTCGCAACACAAACAGGCGATGGCGCCTTCTTTTATACATGCGAGCGACATGACAAATTTTTAATAATAATAGTAATGGGGAGGGGAGGAGAAAAAAATCACAAGTGAAAGAAGTCACCGAAGGTAACTGAATAGGTTACAGATAGATCTGCGGGAAAAAGAACCCTGTTGAAAACCGAAAACGTAACTGACCGAAGGATTGACCATTGGTGACCAGATAAAAAAAAGTGACCTATTTTGAATACTTGGACGCTTTCGAGAGAGCACAGAAATGGGCGTGACAAGGTTCACAGCGCATCATGGGCGGTGTCTTGTTCCAGAGAATGGCACCAATGAACTGGATCGTACCTCGACCAGAAGGACTGGGCCAGAAGGGTCTGTTAGTACGCCAAGGAATGTACAGGGTAGCTGGGAAGTACCGGTAGTATAGGCTTATTGCGATCGAACCCCTACCATCCAAACCATCCAAACCAAACCAAATCCAAACCATGGCATCGGAACTGTACGTATAGCAATGGCTAAGCATGTGGCCGGGACAGGTGTGTGCAATATCATGATGAAGACAGGGTGCGATGGGAAACCACCGGAAGCTGTTCTGTTTGGCACAGAGTCCCGTTCTGCGCTGTGCATCCAGTAGTAACATGTTATTGCACATGTTCTTGGTTTAGGTTTTGGCCTTTTTCGTGCTTTGGAGTTATTTGTTGTTTTTGGAGAGTTCAGTAGCGGGGTTTCCAGTCCACACTCTCCAGCGCAGACATACATGTATGCACGGCACATGGGGTGAACAGACTGAGAATCAGTACAGTAGGAGTGTCGGCCTGTGCATCCGATTTTCAGCCAATCGCATTCACAGCTAATCTTGACTGCCATTGAGTCGGATTGACATAATCATTCATTGGGCTCAGAGCCTCGAGGCAGTGCGCCTGCTGTCTGCTAGAGTGCTAAATGCCTCTGGTGGACAGAGCACATACGTGACTGTACAATCATGTACAGTGCTGGCAACTGAAATCCGACACCCTGAGCGGTGCGCTCATATCGCAAAAAATGTGAACCCACCGCTCAGGGGTCGGATTTCAGTTGCCAGCACTGTACATGTTCATGTGTATGTTCGTGTACATGATTGTACACGAACATACACATGAACATGACTGTAACAGAGGTCTGTAGTACTAGTACTAGGCCTTGGCGGATAATGCTCGAAAAGGTGACAGATTCTGCTCGAAAAGCAGCGAAATTGGCAGAACCATACAAACCGTATGGCGGGCAATTCCTCGAATTCTGCTCCATTTCTTTATCCATATACCAAACATGCATGAAACTTACCAGAAAAAGTACCGAATTCTGCCAATTTTTCTGCCGGCATTATCCGCCAAGGCCTAACTAGTACACAAGAGGCGCACACAGCAAAGTAAAGGCTTGTTTGCGTGTCCGCTTGTTTGAAAAATAATGAAACTCTGATCTACAGCAAATAATCCCTCACCTTGGTGTACCTCTGGTGAACATTCATTGGGCAGGCAGGTACTCGACACAACGTTTTTATTACAACCAGCAAAATGTGAGAACAACAATGGCAGGTATACTACTAGAATGATTATGTACTACCAGACTATGACATCACAGGGGAACGCTCAAGGAGTACGTACACAGATACAGGTAGGCAAGACTTACAATCGAGCACATCCCGGTGAAAGGACGACCGACTGCTGGAACCCCAGTTGGAGAGTAGCGAACTGGACGACGACTTGGAAAACGAGAGACACATGTGGCCGCTGTCGAATCCCGGTGTAGCAGCAGCCTGAGCAGGGTACAGACAAAACACATACATGCATTCACAGAATACTGCAATCACTGCTTGAAATAAATATTTTCGAATTTTAACGAAGAAAACATATTCGTACCCAAACACTTCATTGTCATAGGCCACAATCCGATGAACAGGGAATACACGGGATAAGGTGATGGCACGTTTGAAATTGAGACGAGACTGCAACCTTAGCTTAGATAGTGGAAAAGACCCATCTTGGCTTTCAAGGGAGAGATCAATGAGTGAAAAGCTAATGTAGTACTTTCTGTTTTCAGCTCCATCAAACTTATGAATGCCAGGGGACTGTACAATTCGTCATGCCATAATTTCATGGTACGTCAAGTTCTAAATATCATGGCATTCCATTGAAATGTCAGAGACCTACTCCTAGGTTGCAGCAGTTTAGACGTTCTTGGAGAATACAAAAATGCTGGAAAATGCCATCCGCCGAGCAGTATAGCACCCTCTTGGTTTTGGAAGAGGTACGAATACCGCCATCACAAGACGAAAAACAATGTCACATTATGTGCACATAACACTCGAACGCAACAGGGGGGAAAGCCAGCCTGCAGCGAAGATGGGCAACCAGCATAGAGTACGCCTCCCTCCCACGGTGTGACTGGAGGTGTGCGATCCGGCGCACCAGCGCAGCAGCACTCTTGCCGCATCCTCCGGTGGAAGAGAGGACACTCTATTGTACATGTACATGTACAATCAGTGATGTACATTGTGCCAGCCATCAAAGGGCAGCTCACACTTGTGAATACCACGAACCCGTGATTATTCTAACGTTGTGGCAAGCCAGAGGCAAACAGGATACAGTTGTGCAAAACAGTTTATATTTTGATAGTGTCTACACTTGTGTTAGCAATGACGGGAACGAATCTACCGGCATTTTGGATTTGTATTAAATTTTGTCGATTCTCTACAGGCCTTAGCCTAAATTGAGGGACAGGTCCCTTGTCTCGTTGAGTGATGGAATTATGGCAGAGTTGAGTTTCAGCATATGTATGCGGAGAACTCGAAACAGCATGGTGTCCTGAGATTGAGTACATGCACACGTACATGTATGCTAATAGCAGGATCTTCGTTCGGAGGGTAGCACGTTCCGCAAACACGAGATATTGTAACAGATTCCTACTCCAGTGGAAGAGTTAGAGCGGCTAACACACCAAACTTAGAGCACAGGCTGTTCACCTTTTGTGCTCAACACTGTCAGGCATTCTGTGAATGCCGTACGCACCGTTGTATGCATCGAATTCTGACCGATAGTATCATCAAGAACAGCATTTTTCTGCCGGAATTGAACGTCACACGCAATAAACCACTGATATTGATGGATTCGCACACCTACCCTAATTTTATCAAAACTGGAGTACACCCACGGCCTGCCGCTTGTCTTCAAGATCGAGGCAGGCCATTTGGAACTGACAATTGACACAAGTTCGAGAGTACCCGTTGTTTATCATCACTGCCCTCAAACAACTCAAAACAACTCTCAAACAACTCTCGCCACGCCTTGATCAGATCCCGATGCAGGCGTCGATGTCTAGAGCATGTAAGTCCAGGAGGTCCTGCCAATGCCATGTACTGTCACTGGCGATATGATCTGCTGGTCTTCCTACAGTCACTAGTAACGCAATCCGAATCGTAACAAGTAGAGTCTTCAGATTTCGCTGAGCGTACCAGTGTTGCCACGTTGCTACTCTCTCTCTCTCTCTCTCTCTCTCTCTCTCTCTCTCTCTCTCTCTCTCTCTCTCTCTCTCTCTCTCTCTCTCTCTCTCTCTCTCTCTCTCTCTCTCTCTCTCTCTCTCTCTCTCTCTCTCTCTCTCTATCTCTATCTCTCTCTATCTCTCTCTCTCTCTCTCTCTCTCTCTCTCTCTATCTCTCTCTCTCTCTCTCTCTCTCTCTCTCTCACACTCTCTCTCTCTCTCTCTCTCTCTCTCTCTCTCTCTCTCTCCTGCCATGACTGCTCATACTGCTACATACTCTCCCTCTCATTACTGGTAGTGTTCGGTATAGCCAGTATGTTCCAGCACAGCTCCGATGAAATACCTCTAATGAAACGTACCCCGTAGGCAACTGGAAATTGTACTAGTTATCCGGGGGTAACTCTTGTCCGAGCACACTTTTCAATAGATGAATAAACCCGGGCTCCTAACAATGTCCGTACTAAGCGAAGTTATACCTTGTTAGCGCATGTTCTAGGAGAGGTTTACCGGCCACTGTTGTCTTGTTGAAGCTATACGCCATGCGCGGTCACCCCCGACATCCACAGACAGTCAAACTCGCAAATAACAACCTCGATTATTGCACTATCTTCAAACAAAGCAGCCACTTTACTGCATACAGTCATGGACTTTTAACCTCCCGAATAGCGTTGTCAATAACAACACTTTTCCTATTGCCAATCGAGGGTTGTTATTCGCAAGTTTTACTGTAAAGAGCAAAATGACAGTTTTACCAGGATTTTCCGTGTTGTCTTCAACTAACACGCAGGGACAAAGAAGCGAGAGAAGAGCTTTAAAGCATGCCCGTGTGCCCGTATACCCACCTCTTGTACGGCTGTGGTGGTTGGCTCCAGGAGCAGATCATCTACTTCGTCGACACCAGACGCCTCGCCAGTGCTTCGTGCCTGCACGAAGCTCAGCGAGGGTCCAGCACAGGACCTGGGCTGGTGACGAGCACGCATAGGATTGGATTCATCCGCGGCCTCCATTCTGATCAAGCTGTACGAGACAGGCTGGGTTTTTGTTGCAACAAACAGTAACCGAGTATTGGTGATCTGTCTAACGCATTGGCTTCCAAGCGGACAGTGTCTGCTGCTTTCTCCAAAAGAGCAATCAAGAACAGCCAGCGGTCACTTACAACTTTTTTATTATTATGCCGGACGACTTATAGCAACGCAGCTGCGCTATGAAGGGGTACAGGCAGCTGTCCGGCTGTTATAAGTGCTATAGGGCTTGAAAGTGATGACGTCAAAAACGGCCAGGGAGTACTAAGTTGACATCAGATTTCTATTTTGGATCCACTAAGGTGTGACTTTGCTATTGCCTTAGTATGTGGGTGCATAGCAACCCACTCATGTCGTATGCAGGGGTGACTTTTACTTCGCCACCAGTTGTAACCCCGCCCCCAGTAGCCAAATCAGTCAGTTTCACTGGTTACATCACCTTGCTGTGAGTAAGACCGCTTGAAATGTGCTTGGATCCATACAAAAACTGGATCCAAGTGGATCCAATTTTTGAATTTTTGAAATTGTTGCTATGCTGTGACGTAGCACTTTCAAGCCCTATAGACAGCCAGCAGCCCGACAGATGTACAGCGCGGTTCCCCGAATTGACCGGATGGGAAGTCACGAGAGTGCACGCGTTGCACCATGCAGGACAAACAGAGAGACGTGCTGCTGCATCCCTGAAGTGAAGCCCTAGACCCAGGTCGCTATATCATCACTAGATTCACCAGTAGGCACACACTACTAGTAATGTCTTGTAGTGTACATGTAGGTTGCATCATGACCTAATATGGAGTTTGCTGCCGCGTTGACGTCAGTGCCGCTGACAAGGATAAGGACGGTGTGAGGGTCATCTACTGGCGTCTCGTGCTTTCCGGAATCCATAGAGACGCAGTGTCCTGTAGTTGTAGCTAAAGGATATTCATTGGATCCCATGCGTGTACAATGTATTTCTCTCACCCTTTTTCCGTCATCAAGTCAGTGAGTTAGTTTAAGAGGCAATGTCTGATCCAGTGACTCCTTGGATATCGGGGCAAAATCCAAAAGTCGACTACAAGGTACATGTCCATGTACAAGACCGAGGGGTCGCTGCTCTTCACAACAACACAGCGTAGCCAAACCAACTATGTTCGCACACCGATCTAAGTTACCTAGTAATTTTGAGCTATCAAACTTTCGACTGGCGACTTTTTTTTTTTTTTTTTTTTTTTTCTACAAAATCCACATATCTCCAGACACTGGGGTGAATGATGGAGTGTGGTGGTGGGGCCCATTAAGCTCCGCCGACCAGAGGTCTCGGCTTCATAGCTCCATGGACGCACCAAAGGGATATTGGGTAGGGAGGATTAAATTGAAAAAGAAAACAGAAGAAAGAAAATGGAAACATTGTATTGCTCAGTGAGCAAAAGAATAAGTTGAGTATTGATGTGAACGCTGTTAGACTTTTAAATTCAAGAGGAGACTGTCCGTGAGGAGAGATTACATGTATGTCCAAGCAGGGTAGGACACTGTACCCTCTTACTCGCGTATGCTATGAGTGGCCCAGTGCCAGTTCGTTCTGAGGAGATGGTGATAAGCTGCTGTCTTGAACTTTTGGATGTTCTTTGGGTGAAATGGGTGGGGAATGATAGAGGTAGGCAGCTGGTTCCAAATTGGGATGACGGAGTGGGGAAAGGCTCGGCTCACATTGTTCCTGGAATTGGCAGGAAGAACATTCTGTAACTGATGGGGATGCGCGGTGGACAGTCGTACAGCCTGGCGGGTGAGGCGTGTGGTCCTGGGTTGGTGTGTCGGGGGTGGAGCCATTCTCGAGAGAAGAGCGGGAGAATTATCGCAAAGGGCTTTATACAGGAGGCAGAGGGCAGCGATGGTGCGGCGAATTATGAGGCTAGGAAGCCAGCATTGCGGATGTATTGCCTTGATGGCTCGCTCCTGCACCCAGTCCAGCCGATTCAAGTGGGAAGAAGCTGCCCCCATCCAGACGATTGGGCAGTACTCCATAACCGGCCGGACAAAGGCTTTGTAGGCTCGAAGCCGGGCAGGAATAGTCAGCAAGTGAAATGCCTTGCGCAAGGCTCCAAGTCTCTGCGTTGCTCGGACTACAACAGTTCGGATATGCTGGCTGAATTTTAGCTGATGGTCAAACGTGACGCCGAGTACCTTGATGGAGGGCTGCTCCTCGACAGGAGTTCCATTGAAGACAATGGGGGGGGGGGGGTATTGGCCAGTCCCGACGATGGTGGGAAATTGTAAGGGCCTGAGATTTGGCTGGCTCGAACTGCACTTTCCAATCCGAGCCCCAACTGGATACTAGGTCGACAGCAGCCTGGAGTACTCTAGCGTTGTCAGGAACAGCAGCGAGCGTTGTAATTTCGGCGTATAGGGTTGTGTCATCGGCGAATGAGGCAAGGTTGGAGCCGATTGGGAGGTGGTCTTCAAGGTCGTTGACGTAGACCAAGAATAAGGTGGGGCCCAGGATACTGCCCTGTGGCACCCCAGCCTTAACTGGGCGTCTGGCTGATGTCTGGCCGGAGATGAGGACTTGAAGTGTGCGGTTGCGGAGGTAGTCTTGGAGCCACCGATGCAGGTCTCCCAAGATGCCATACACTCTAGCCTTGTGCAACACACCAGTGTGAGACACCCGGTCAAATGCTCCAGCAATGTCGATGGCCAGCACTCGAGAAGCTCCTTTATCTCCGGCGGTGTGCACCCACTGGTGGTGGAGAGCAGTCAGCAGGTCTGCTGCACTGTGGCCGCGACGGAATCCAAATTGCCGTTCTGACAGGACGTGATTCGTCTCCATGAAGTTGCTCATTGCCCTGTTGACTATGGTCTCCATGACCTTGGAGAGGATGCTCAGTAACGACACTGGTCGATAGTTTGATGGCGACGATTTAGACTTGCGCTTGTGGACTGGAACCACGTTTGCAACCTTCCACTGTTGTGGCTGGATACCGGAGCGAAGACAGCATGTAAATAGTTTTGAAAGCGGCCGTGCCAATTCTGCAGAGCAAGCTTTCAAGACGCGGGCAGGTATCCCATCTGGACCAGTGGCCTTGGTGGGGTTGAGCTGGCGGAGAGTTCGCTCGACTGTGGTTTCGCGAAACCGGACGGTGCAGAGGTTGCGGTCAGTACGTGGTCGGACGTAAGGAAATGGAGCGGATAGGTCGTCTGCCCCTAGACTGCATTTGTTGGCGAAGTGTTCGGCCATGCACTCTGCTTTGCTGCGGTTGGTGTCGTGCTCCGTACCATCGGTGCTGCGGAGAGTAGGTATGGATGGGCTGTTTCCGTGGCCAGAGGCCTTCTTGATGGTTCGCCACCATTCACCAGACGCCATACACCCAGAGGCTAACTTCTGCGCCAGGCTTGCTGTGAATGCCTGCTTGGCAGTTGCCAGGCAATGGTTAGCCGAGTGCTTGGCGACATTGTAACGGGCTTGCAGCTGGGCACTTGACCGGTCGGCGCAGAGTCTCCTCCATGCTCTTTGTTTCTGTGCTACAGCCTCAGTGCATTCCGGTGTCCACCAAGAGGGGTTAGATGGTTTCATGCACAACTGCTTAGACGGTATGTATCGGCGCATTCCTTCCAGAATATTCTGGGTCAAGTGCATACACATTGCATCAGGATCATCACTGACAGTGGACTGCCAATCTGTTGTTCTAAAGAAGTGGCGGAGTCTGTCCCAGTCTGCGTGTTGGTAACGCCAGACAGTTCTGGTCACTGGTGGTTCCTCTGCTGTGCTTACATGAAAGTCAGCTAGGACACAGGCATGGTCAGAGTTTCCCAGAGGTGCTAAGGTATTGACGGTCGCATCTCCCGGTAGGTCAGTCATTATTAAGTCGAGTGGGTTAAGGCCCCTGGTGGGCTCATGCACGTGCTGCTCCAAGCAGTGAAAAGCACACATGTCTTCAGTGTACACACCTGCATGAGTTGTCTTGGTGCTGCCGAGCCAATCCACGTTGTGTACGTTAAAATCTCCAGCCAATACCACATATTGACAAGATTTACGGGCCAGGTCTATGCCAGCACTGATGGCTTCAAGGGTACTGATGTCATTGTCGTGGCAGGAGCCAGAGCGATATGCAGCACACACAGCCACTGACTTCTTATCCACAGTTCTGCTTGCTGAGGCCTTCGAGCGAACCGACCAATTCAGCCTGTCCGATGGCGACCATTACGAAGGCCATCTTTAAGGGTAAGTAGCGGCGAGGTTGCGCCCTGAAATTTGGGGTACGTGTAGATCACCACCATAATTAGGGACCGGCGGATTCTGCTCGAAAAGTGGCAGATTCTGCTCGAAAAGCAGTGAAATTGGCAGAACCATACAAACCTTATGGCGGAAAATTCCTCGAATTCTGCTCCATTTTTTATCCACATACCAAACATGCATGAAACTTACCAGAAAAAGTACCGAATTCTGCCATTTTTTCTGCCGGCAGAATCCACAGGACCCTAACCATAATCTGCTGCGACATGTCCCCTGACACCAACACGTGGGGCAGAATGAAGTTATCCACTTACAAATCACTCGGGGAATACTGGTAATCAAATTCCAAACTCTCCCACGCTCTGGCCAAATCCAACCGCGTGGCAAGGAAGAACACAAGGAGCGCCTCCAGATGCCTTTTCGCTACACTACCAGCAATGAAACAACATGGGAATAATCCCTTCCCTCGCAGAAATTCGAATGAGGCCGCCACGAATCGTCACTTGCTGGACATTAGCCCAACATGACGAGAAAGAAGAACGGTTTCACAACAGCAAATCAGCACTGCGGTGTACACGTCGACAGCAGTCGAACAAACCTGCGCGACTGCCGTCGACGTGTACACCACAGACTAGCATACTAGCAGATGGCCTTAACTTTTTCTTTTCTCTTCTTTTTTTTATCCCCCCCCCCCGTGCGCGTGGTGTGCAAGGACACCGAGACCTTTGACCGGGGGAGTTCACAACGCCCCACCTACACAGCTGCACAAGTGGATAGTCAGCCCCCGGCTCAATACTTGTTGTTCCGTCAACCCTCAACTCCTGTTTTACAGTCGTATCTTCGTTCTCCCCACACTTTTTTTAAATCTTTCTTGTTATCAATTTTGTCTTGAGCCCGGTTCGTGTGCTTTGTAAGAAAGTCAAGGACTGCCGCGGCGCAAGGCCTCTGAAAGTTC